GGGCATCTGGGCTGTTTCCACAACGTGGCTATTGTGAATAGTGCAGCAATGAACATGGGTGTGCAGGTGTCTTTATGGTAGCCTGGCTGTAATGTTTCTGGTAGATGCCAGGAGTGGCTGGGTCACAGGGAAGGTCTGTGTTTAGTTTTTGAGCAACCTCCAGACTGCTGTCCAGAGAGGTTGTACTAGTGTACATTTCCACTAACAGTGCAGCAGGGCTCCTCTTCCCCAGCTCCGCCAGCATTCATTGTCTGAATTCACAGTGTTGGCCAGTCTAACTGGAGTGAGAGGGACTCTCAGCTTTGATTTGCGGTTCCTTTACGACCAGGGGTGGTGAGCATTTGCATTTCCTCATGTGTTTCTTTGCCATTCTCACCTCTTCTGCTGAGAAGTCTCTCCTTAGCTAATCCTTAAGTCTTTCTGCTGTTTACTGTGCCCCTGGGATTTTTTGCAAAAAGCTTCTGCCTACGCCTGTGAGTCCCAGTGTTTCTCCTACTCCCTCTTGCAGTAATTTCAAGGTTTCTGGTCTGGCGTTGCAGTCTTTGATCCACTTTGAGTGGATATTAGTACATGGCGATAAACAGAGATCCAATTTTAGTTTTCTCCATGTGGATGCCTTTTTCCCAACACCAGTTACTGAAGATGTCATCTTTTTTCCACTGTAAATCTTTGGCTCCCTTATCAAATATCAGATGACTTGAAGTATATGGTTTTATTTCCCAATCTTCTAGTCTGTCCTATTGATCTTTCGGTACATTTTTATTGTCACCATTTTTAATGGCTTGTTAAGATATATTCCTTTCTCTTTTCTTTTCTTTTGGGACCTGAGTGCTAGGCAAGTTCTCCACTACTTCTAACCCCAGCCAACATTCTTGCTGTTCTTAGTTTGTTTTCTAGATAAGAGTCTCATGCCTTTGCCCAGGTGGACCTTAGGCCGTGAAGCTTCTACTTCTGCCTCTAGAATTCCTGGGGTTACAGGCATGTGCTACCATGTCCTGCTAAAGTTGTCTTAATGATAGGGAGTTATCTTTTCTTAAAGGTTTATTTTATTTAGTAAATACTCAAGAGTTGATGGAAATAAGGACAGAGAAACAGAGTAATCAGGTTAAGTCTTGCAGCTTTGGAGAATAAGAAGTAAAGGGAAAAATGGAGATGTAAGATTTCTAGTTTTGTTTGAGCATATATCTGAAGATAATTCCAAGTGAAGTTTCAGAAATGATAGTGCAAGGCTGAAGTAAATGTTTTAACAAAAAGATATGAGGGCAAAATATAAATAAGTATGCATTTGTATGCATATACACTTGCAGGTTACAGAACTCTCTTTAAGGCTCCGTGCTAATAATGAATCACACTTGTTAAAATGCCCATCAAGTTTTATCTATGGAGATTTTATTTTCTTTTAATGTGGTTAGCTGTTTATCAGCTATGGATGAATCCTTATGAAATTCCAAATTATCATCAATAACTTTTCAGTGATCACTAACCCAGAGCCTTCTCCATGTTATGTCAGGATGCAAAGTGACTCCTGCTACCTGATCATTGGATCTAAATGCCTGTAAAGTTATTTGCAACGGAGAGTTTGAAAAAAAATACCACTTTATAGTGATTCCTTTCCCGCAGGGTCTGTGCAGGAAGCACAGCTTTGCCCGGATGTAGCTGTTCCTGCTTTGAATTGGAGCTAGTTTCCTACATTAACATAGACATAGACATTTTTCTTTACAAATATGTGAGCCATCCATGGCTGGATTATATAATTGTGGAACAAACATTTACCCGGATTGTTGTTCTATTTTTAATTCCAAAGCAATTCAAGGGAAAAAGCTGTTTGCAAACAATTATAATGGACCTGTAGTACGTAACTGCAAAATGTATGAAAGCTTTTCACTGAACAATGGAGATAACCTGGAAATTCTCCACAGTTGTATCCCATGGCCTTTCACCAGAGCACCACGGCACCACTCAGCCATTTTCAGAAAAGTTCTATTAGCTTCTTGTCCATGTGGTAATGAGTCTCCCTCATAATCATTCAGTTGAAGGAATTTTAGCTCAATTTTGTCACAAGGAAAAAACTCTAATCACAAACATATAAGACATTATATGCATATATATACACACTACCCTGAATACCAACTACTATATACATGTATATATATAGTTATAGCATCATTTTTAATAATTAAAGATTTAGATCTTAACAAAGAGGTAGACAGAAAGCAGTTCATCTCATGACTGTAAAACCAGATCAGCCTCAGGGGAGACCCACTGGAACAAACCAGGGGCTTGGAGAAGGCTTCAGTACTGGACAAAACAAACAACAGTAAGAAGAAAGCCTGGAGGCCTTTCCCGTCTTTGAATTATAATTTCAAAGTTGGACAGGAAGTCTAAGAAAACCACTGCCTATTCGTCGACCAACCTACTAAGCGTCAGCTTTTGCTGAACACAGTTTTGGTCTCTAAGAATGTGGTTTTCTGGAAGCATGTTAAGCCACGGGAAGAAGAGCAACTTTACTTCATAATACCATTCCTGTCTTTGGATTTCAAAAACTTTAGGCGGGTGAAATACAAGCCCAGCTAAGAACTAAAAAATACAAATTCAAGGTGTGCTAGTAATTCTTTCCAGAACAAACAAAAATGGCTTTCATTTTTGTTTTGTGTTCTTAAAAAAACCCAAAACCTCATACTTTCCTTCATAAGTGGGGGATTTGAGCAAAGCATTCCAGAATTTCCCAACCACCCTCACTGGTAGAGCAAGGCACTGATTGAACAGTATTCCTGGGGTACTCAGGGCAGCTGGCCCAGCGGCCCCAGCTCCCGGAAGGCCTGCAGGTGAGCTGGCCGTCAGCCCTGGGGACTGCTGGAGGCTTCCCAGGCTGGCCGGTGCTGGGATGCAGGCCATTCTTCCCTTCCCTTGCCTGCTGCTGGTGTCCCAAACACCGTCCTTGAAACAGTGACCTCCCTGACAATTAGTGAACTGCAGTGTCATGCTAGCCATATCGACTGTGCAAGCATGCTCGCCCACAAATCACCCCAGTGCCAATTACTGTGTCTCACTAGGAGTCTGAGCCGACTGAAACGTTTGGTGCACCAGCGTCATAAAACGTTACTCTCTGAATCCAAGTAGGGAAAGTGTTAAGACATTTTAAAAATCAGATTCTACTTTTTTAATTACCATTTTAAATCCTGTTATAAATGGGTTTCTCAATCAAACATATTTCAGGTACTATTTGTAAGCTATAATTTTAAATGAGTGTTTTATTTGGAAAATAAAGTTGGTTTAGGTTTTTCTGGAATCAAGTATCTTAAGGATTAAAAGTTATTTTTTACCTTACCATAAAATTTAGAATTCCTGAATTAAGTGTTTTTACTTTATAATAGTCATGTTTCACATAACAGTACTTCCTTATTTTATTTAGAAACATGCATTTTCTTTGATCACTCAGTACATTGGAGATGTACTCTAATCACTTAAATGTATGATCTATAACAGTTTGCTGTACCCTAAATTGAAAATGAGATTCTTATCACAGCACATTAGGTTCTACACATGACAAATGTGAAATGTGCTTTCAGTGAAGAATTAGCAGGGATCAACAAATCATTTTAAGCTATTTTATACTGTTTAAGTCTTTTATAAGTATAGGAGAATTCTGCATGTGCTAGATTTTTTTATTCATCGGGCAAGCAATCTTAACTTCTATATGAATGATATGCCCATTTGTCATTGTAGCTGATTTCGATCTACGCCTCACCCATGTTGTTTGAAATTTCTGCACAATGTTATTGAAGGCATGTAAATTGAACTGTATTATGACACGAAGCCTGGGCCCTGTGATAAGGAACAGCTAAGCTCCCCAAACTCGCCCGAAATACAGTTATAATTTTAAGCAGGAAAATGGAACAAGAACCCGGTGGGTTTCGGACCCGGGAGGCTGGGGTCCCGGCTGCAGGTCCGAGTCCTGCGCCCCCAGGGCTCCTCCGCCGGCCTCCGGGGGGCAGGGGCCGGGTCTGGGGCTCCCCCAGCCTGCTCCCCGGGGTGCAGCGATCGCAGCCCGTTCCCGCGCCCGCTCCAGGCGCAGGGAGCCCGGGAGGAGCCGCGTCGGTGTCGGCGCTTACTTACTGGTGGGGCGTGGCGCGTGCAGAGGCGAGGCCGGCCGGCCCTCCAGCCACCCAGGACCCCGGGCCTCCAGGCCGGGCCTCCCACCCCGGACCCCGAGAGCCGACTCAGCCCAGGTAGAGGAGAACCCTGCAGCGGGCGTGCAAGGCGTGGGGCGGGGTCCCGGGGGCGTGGGGCGGGGTCCCGGGTGGGCGTGGAGCGGGGCCCCAGGTGGGCGTGGGGCGGGGTCCCGGAGGCGTGGGGCAGGGCCCCAGGTGGGCGTGGGGCAGGGTCCTGGGGGGCATGGGGCGGGGTCCTGGGAGCGGGGTCCCAGGGGCGTGGGGCGGGGTCCCGGGGGCGTGGGGCGGGGTCCCCGTGGGCCTCCGGGCGCGCCCCAGCCCGGACGCTGCCTCTCCAGCGCCTCGAGGTCGCGCGCGGCTCTCGCTCCCCGCCCGGCCCGGCCCGCGGGGCTCACCTCGCCCGGCCTGCCCGGCCTGCCCGCGCCGCTCCCTCGGGCCTCAGGCCCCGCGGTCCGGCTCCCCAGTCAGGCGCGGGGCGCCCCCGCCCTCGGGTGCTCGCTGCGTCCCAGCGGCCGACACCCCCCATCCTGCGTCCCGGGATCCCGGGGTCCCCTTCAGCTCCCCCAGCCCCCAGGCCAGGCGGAGTGGAGGGAGAAAGGAGGAAGAGGGGGAGCAGAGAGAGAGAGAGAGATCGGAGGGGGAGAGAGAGGGGAGAGAGGAGGGAGAGAAGAGGGGGAGAGAAAGGAGAGGGAGGAGAGTGGGGAAAGAGGGACGGGGGGAAGAGAGGGAGAGAGAGAGAGAGAGAGGGAGAGAGAGAGAGGGAAGGAGGGAGGGAGGGAGGCGGAGGGGAGGGCGGGAGCGCGGGGAGCGTGTGCGCAGGCCGTTGCCATGGAGAGGCGGCTGCCCGCGCGGCGGAGGCTGCGCTCCCGCCTCCCTCCCCCTCTTCCCGCCTGGGCTCCCCGGGCCTCGTCGGAACTCGGCCGGGGACACCTCCCTCCTCCCCTCCGGCCGGGGCCGGGCTGGGGCCGCCCCGGAGGCTGGCTGGGATGGCGGGAGCCCAGCGAACGCCAGGGTGGGGCGGGACGGGGCGCGCGGGGTCTTCGCCCCGGGGGGTGCCTGGGGCCGGGCTCCGGCTCGGAGCTGCCGCCCTCCGCCGCGCCCGAGCCAGGTGGAGCCCCTCCGCGGCCCGGTCACCCGAGGCGGGGACCCCGGGCGGATGGCGGCGGGGCCGCGTCCCTCGGCCGCCGGGCGCCTCCCTCCTGCCCGCCCGGCTGCCGCGTGTCCGGCCGCCACCCCCGCGCCCGGGGCGCCCCTCCAGCCGCCTTAGGCGCCGGAATTCAGGCGGAACTCGGCGTGGGCCCTGCCCGGGGACGCTGCCCCGCGGCCGGCGCTGGCCGGGACCGGCTCCCCGGAGCCCGCTCCGCGCCCGGGTGGGGAAGCGGCCTGGCGCGGGGCAGGTGCGGCGGGCGCGAGGGCGGCGGGGCGGGGGAGCCCCGAGGGGCCGGGCGCGGCGGGCCGCCGTCTCCAGCTGTCCCGCGCCGAGCGGACAATGGGAGGCGGCGGGAGAGGGGGCCGACGGGGGCGCCGGGGCTTCCCGAAGAGGACAAACTAAAGAGCCGGGCGGGCCGGCCCCCGCGGGCGGGGTGCGCGCCCCGCGCCCGCCTTTCTTCCCTTGTTCCCGCAGCTGTGGGGCGCGGAGGGCGCATTGTGCGCACAGATGTTGGGTTTCAGCTCGGCTGTCGGGCGCTCCGAGGGGCGCCGCACGGGGGGGGGGGGGTCGGCCGTCACCTGGGCCTCGCTCCGGGGCCGAGGCTCGGGGGGAGGAGGCTCGGCGATCAAAAGGGGGCGAGCTACGGGCCCGGGGGACCGGGAGCGGGGCTGCGTCCGCGGGCCGGTGTCCAGCGTGTGGGCTGCCCGCCCCGCAGCCTGCCAGGGCCGAACGGAGGCGCGCGGCGCCGGTTCCCGCACGTGAGCGCACTCCACGCGCGCCGAGGCCCCGGCCCCGCTGGGCACGCTGGGTCCGGAGGGAGCCGGGAGTCCGGGCATCGCGGGGGGTCCGAGCGGACGGGCCGCGGCCCTGCCCGGGTGGAGGTCACGCCGAGCCGAGGGCTGGCTCCGCGGGGCGGCCCCTATCCCCCCGCCCCCCCCCCCGCCGGTCCCCACCCCAGCCGCGCCGAACTTGCCCGAGACCAAGTGAGACTGGAGATGAGCGAGAGAAAGCCGGGAAGGCCGTGCCCGCGCGCTGACTGACAGAGCGGACGTCCACTCATAGTCCGGGGCGGGAGCGGGTTTCGGGGAGCCTCGGCCCCTTAGCCAATTGCTGTCAGCAACACGTGGGGGGGGGCATCGCTATAGCAACCGGTGGCCGGGCCGCGAGCCGCGCCGCCGCCGGCCGGGCGCGCGCCGGGCCGGATATAAGGCGGGGCGCGGCGGCCTCGCGGGTGGGAGCTGTGCGCGCGGCCCTGCGGCCCTGCGGGACGGCCGGGAGCCGGGCGCGCCCGGAGGCGGCCCGCGGAACCTGCCCTGGGAGCCGGGCCGAGGCGGGGCCCGCGCGGCCCGGTCGGGAAGAGCCGCGGAGCTCCCCGCGCCTGCCGGCCCGGATCGGGTGCGGCCGCCGCTGGAGCCGCTGCGCGCAGCATCTTTGTCTCCGCTGCCTCTCGGGAAGTTTGCGGTCGGAAACAGGAGGCCCCGCGCGCCCCGGGCTCCGGCTCTGAGCGGCCGCTGGCTGCGCCCCGGCGCGCGCCCCCACCGCCTTCGGTTCTCCGGAGCGCCCGCCCGGCTGCAGGTAACGCGGGGCACTTGGCATCGACTTGGCTCCGGGTGGAGCCAGAGCGGGCGGGAGAGCTGAGAGGAGTTGACGGGGAGCGGAAGGGGGCCGGGGGCGGCGGACCCCATCCTAGAGCACTGCCCGGCGAGGGAAGGAACGCATGGGGGGCTGCGGGGCACCCCGGGCGTCGGGGCCATCCCCCCGGGGACCGACGCCTCTCCGCGGCCCACCCGAGAGGTCGGCGTGGGGCCCCCGAGTGGGTCCGGAGGAGGCGAGGGGCAGCCCACAGCTGCGGCTACTTCTGAGCGCACGGATTGGAAAAGGGCGGCCGCCGCGCTCGGCCCGCGCCTCCCGGAAGCCGCGGGGAAGCGGCGCGGAGCCGGCCGGACTTGCCCCCCGCGCGCCCCGGCCCGCAGAGAGTGGCAGAGGCGAAAGGAGGTTCACACACAGGTGGGGCAGTGAGGAGAGGACGGATGGACGGATGGACGGACGGACAGATGAGCAGCAGACGTGGAGAGGAGCCAAGGTGGGGGCATCCCCCGCGTATTTGGGGGCACTGCCCGCCCTCCCTGCTCCGCCGGGCCCGAGGCGAGTCGCACGCGCTGCCCCGGCCCCTCCCCGTCCACGTGGGGCGGCGCGCGTGCCGGGGAAACTTCCCGCCCCGAGCCGCGGGCCAGTGCGCCCATCCTCCTGCTCCCGGCGGCCGCCGCGCCGGGCTCGCTTCGGGGTTCGCTCAACCCGGCCCCCGGCGTGGGGCCGCGGGAGGTGGGCCGCCCGAGGCCTTCCGGGCGGGACGGTGGGGTGGGCGCCCTCCCGCAGCCCGGCCCGGGCCGTGCGCTCCGGGCAGCCCAGGGGGAGACGCACGCGCTGCCCGCGCGGAGCGGGCGCGCGCCTGTGGCGGCGCGTTCGGGGCTCGGCGGGCCGCGCCAGGCCGGGCCGACCCCCACCCTGCTCCCGGCAGGGCTCCGCGGCTCTTGGGGTGCCCGGCCCTGAGCCTCCCCGTCCGTCCTCGCGGCCTGGCGTCCCGGGAACCGCGAGGACGCGGGCGCCGGGCCGGGCCCGCGGAGTCGGGGACCCCGGGCGGGCAGCGCGCGGTGGCGACGTGAGTCCCTCGGGCGCTTTGTGGCCGGGAAGCTGGCGGCCGCATTGTCCCCTCCGAGCTCCCGGCAGCCCGGGATCCTTTGTCTCAGGCTGGGGTCTGATCTTCCCGACCCCGGCCGCCGGGCTCCGGTGAATCGCGGGGGACAGGGCCAGGGAGGCGGGGTGAAGAGGCCCGGCCGCCAAGTCCGCCCTCCCGGGCCGGGGAGGGCTGCGCCCCGCGTCAGGCCAGCTTCCCGAGGCCGGGGCTGGGCGAAGCAGGCCAGGGACCCCGTCCTCGGGGGGGCTGCTGCTCGCGGGGCGTCCTGCGGCGTCCCCCTTATGAGCCCAGCCCAGGCCGGGCTGACCGCTAGCCCAGAAGGCAGAGGAGGGTCAAAGAGGCGCGGGAGCGGTGCGCAGTGAGCGAGTTCGGGAGTAGTGAAAACCTGGACGGGAGGGGCGGCTTTCCCTGGGCTCACCGCTGGTGGGTCGCCTCGTCCCCCCCCCCCCCCCCCCCCCCCCGCGCTTACCGGGCCTGGCTAAGAATCCGTTAGCACCAGTGTGGAAGATCTTCCCTTACATCGTAAAATGGAGTATTTGTCCAAAGCCGGTATTTTAGGAGTGTTTAAAGTTGGCAAATAAGCAATGTATTATCTTTTTTATAGTCACTTTTATGCCTGTGTCGGAATAGCTTAACCTACTTAAAAAACACCAGCATACCCCAACTTATTTTCATTCAAGTTTGCATTTTAACATAATTATGTCTTGGAGATCTTTTTCTTTTGCTCATGCAGACTTTTTTTTTTTTGGCTACTTGAATGGCAGATTTGCAAGTACAATTTCATCCGCAAAGAGGAACAATAGCTTTCAGTAGCACAAAGGGCTTCTCCTACCCCGAATGCAGACCGTAATGCCTCTTGCTCTGATAATAGCTTCTGAAAAGATTTTGTAATGCAGAGAATTAATACATGATTATTTCCGCCTGACTTCGTTCATTTATTAGAATTCTGTGGCAAATTCCAAATTAAAAATAGTTCAGTTAACAGCTTTAAAAAATACTTTTAAAATGTTTTAAGTCATTGTGCTGTGGATTTTACAGCTTGGTCACTTGTTCTGGCTTGAAAACTGCAAAAAAAAAAGTAATCAGATTTAAACTAATAGTTACCTTATTTTAGCAAACATATCTTAGCAAATTTACAATGAAGTTTCCAAATAAGTCTATGATATTCACTTACCCAGCCAAAGACAAACTTATTATAGCAAGTTATTAATTGGTCTCGAAAGCTAATTTCTGAATTTTACTGGGGAAAAAGGTCTATGTAATTATAGTCATGGGTCTTCACGGATCAAAATTTCCCAAAGGAATGGAGAGGCCTTTCTCCTCATCTCCTTTGCTAAGAGAGAAAGAGAAGGAAAAAAAGAAAAGAGGGAAAGAGATTGGCCGACGGGGAGGAGGGGAGCCGATCCTTAGCAATGCCACAGATGAGTGCATCTGCCGGCAGAAGTTTAACGTTAGTGAAAGGAATGGTATGGGTGGGTTTTTTCCTACAACCACTTTACAACTGCAGGCCAGTGACCGGAGCCGGTTACGCTGCGGTTTTCCAACAGTGGCTACGCGGGCTTGTGAGGGGAGCCGGTGCTCCGGTCGGAGCTCACCGCGCGGCGCGCAGGCCTCGCCGGGTCGGAGCTCACGGCGTCGCGCGCAGGCCTCGCCGGGTCGGAGCTCACGGCGTCGCGCGCAGGCCTCGCCGGGTCGGAGCTCACCGCGCCGCGCGCAGGCCTCGCCGGGTCCGGGCTCACCGCGCGGCGCGCAGGCCTCGCCGGGTCGGAGCTCACCGCGCGGCGCGCAGGCCTCGCCGGGTCGGAGCTCACGGCGTCGCGCGCAGGCCTCGCCGGGTCGGAGCTCACGGCGTCGCGCGCAGGCCTCGCCGGGTCGGAGCTCACCGCGCGGCGCGCAGGCCTCGCCGGGTCGGGGCTCACCGCGCGGCGCGCAGGCCTCGCCGGGTCGGGGCTCACCGCGCGGCGCGCAGGCCTCGCCGGGTCCGGGCTCACCGCGCGGCGCGCAGGCCTCGCCGGGTCCGGGCTCACCGCGCGGCGCGCAGGCCTCGCCGGGTCCGGGCTCACCGCGCCGCGCGCAGGCCTCGCCGGGTCGGAGCTCACCGCGCCGGGTCGGAGCTCACCGCGCGGCGCGCAGGCCTCGCCGGGTCCCCGCTTCCTTCGCTTGTTCCGAACCGCAGTGTTCGCAGCGCTGCGCAGTCTAACTTGGAAGAGCTGCAGGTGGGGTGGTGGGTGAGGAAGGGCGCCCTTCTGTGCCTCTGCCCACTCTCGAGGTGCCGGGGCCCTGGGCTGCTCTGGTCCGAGAACACCACAGTACCGGCGCCAGGGACGGAGAACCGTGCATGGGGCGACCGCCCTCCGAGGCCTGCCCCCCTCCGAGGCCTGCCCCCTTCCGAGGTCTCCCCCCCTCCGAGGTCCCCCCCTCCGAGGCCCGCCCCCCCAGGTCTGCCCCCCTCCGAGGTCCCCCCTCCGAGGCCCGCTCCCCCAGGTCTGCCCCCCCTCCGAGGTCTCCCCCCCAGGCCCCCCCCTCCGAGGTCCCCCTCCCTCCCCTCCTCGGCTCCCAGCTCGCGCGGCGCCCTGCTCGGCGCAGGAGGGGTTCTGCTTTTAAAGGAAAAGAGTCTGACTGTAAATGTCAAGTCATAAATATTTAAACGTCATTTCTTTCCATCTCGGTCCAGACTGGGTAAGACGCCTCCAATGAGCTCGGGCCCTTCCGGCAGGCCGCGGGGCCCGGCCGCGGGGGCCACCTCGGAGCGCGGCGGCGCGGGGCCCGGCCGCCCGGGCTGCGGCCCGAACGCGCGGGTCGCTCAACTCCGCAAAGCAGTAGCCGTGAAGCTGCTGCGGCCCAACCACGGCCCAGAGAGGGCGTCCGCCCGATCAAAGAGAAACCATCCGTGCTCGTTCTTCGGGATTCCAAAGTCCTAGCCCACCATTCTCCCCTCCCCCCCACCCCCGCTTCTCCGGCGCAAAGGGCCACGGGGTGCCTCAGATGGGAGGGGCGGCCCCCCCATCGCCGCGGGCCCCGCCTGAGCGCCCACGGCCAACCTGAAGCCTGGCTTCCCGGTCCTGAGCCTCTCAGGGCCCCTTTGTGGAAGTCCCGCGTCTCCCCCGCTGACCCCCAGTGCCGCCCGCCCAGCCCACTGACCCCCAGTGCCACCCGCCCAGCCCACTGCCCCCCAGTGCTGTCCCCCAGCCCACTGCCCCCCAGTGCCACCCGCCCAGCCCACTGCCCCCCAGTGCTGTCCCCCAGCCCACTGCCCCCCAGTGCCACCCGCCCAGCCCACTGCCCCCCAGTGCCGCCCGCCCAGCCCACTGCCCCCCAGTGCCGCCCGCCCAGCCCACTGCCCCCAGTGCCACCCACCCAGCCCACTGCCCCCCAGTGCCGCCCGCCCAGCCCACTGCCCCCCAGTGCCGCCCGCCCAGCCCACTGCCCCCAGTGCCACCCGCCCAGCCCACTGCCCCCCAGTGCTGTCCCCCAGCCCACTGCCCCCCAGTGCCACCCGCCCAGCCCACTGCGCCCCAGTGCCACCCACCCAGCCCACTGCCCCCCAGTGCCACCCACCCAGCCCACTGTCCCCCAGTGCCACCCGCCCAGCCCACTGCCCCCCAGTGCCACCCGCCCAGCCACTGCCCCCCAGTGCTATCCCCCAGCCCACTGCCCCCCAGTGCCACCCACCCAGCCCACTGCCCCCCAGTGCCACCCACCCAGCCCACTGCCCCCAGTGCCACCCACCCAGCCCACGACCCCCCAGTGCTGTCCCCAGCCCACTGCCCCCCAGTGCTGTCCCCCAGCCCACTGCCCCCCAGTGCTGTCCCCCAGCCCACTGCCCCCCAGTGCTGTCCCCCAGCCCACTGCCCCCCAGTGCCACCCACCCAGCCCACTGCCCCCCAGTGCCACCCGCCCAGCCCACTGCCCCCCAGTGCCACCCGCCCAGCCCACTGCCCCCCAGTGCCACCCGCCCAGCCCACTGCCCCCCAGTGCTGTCCCCCTGCCCACTGCCCCCCAGTGCTGTCCCCCAGCCCACTGCCCCCCAGTGCCACCCACCCAGCCCACTGCCCCCAGTGCCACCCACCCAGCCCACTGCCCCCCAGTGCCACCCGCCCAGTCCACTGCCCCCCAGTGCCACCCACCCAGCCCACTGCCCCCCAGTGCTGTCCCCCAGCCCACTGCCCCCCAGTGCCACCCACCCAGCCCACTGCCCCCCAGTGCTGTCCCCCAGCCCACTGCCCCCCAGTGCCACCCACCCAGCCCACTGCCCCCAGTGCCACCCACCCAGCCCACTGCCCCCCAGTGCCGCCCACCCAGCCCACTGCCCCCCAGTGCCACCCACCCAGCCCACTGCCCCTCAGGGCCGCCCACCCAGCCCACTGCCCCCCAGGGCCGCCCACCCAGCCCACTGCCCCTCAGGGCCGCCCACCCAGCCCACTGCCCCCCAGTGCCGCCCACCCAGCCCACTGCCCCTCAGGGCCGCCCACCCAGCCCACTGCCCCCCAGGGCCGCCCACCGAGCCCACTGCCCCCCAGTGCCACCCACCCAGCCCACGACCCCCCAGTGCCACCCACCCAGCCCACTGCCCCCCAGTGCCACCCACCCAGCCCACTGCCCCCCAGTGCTGTCCCCAGCCCACGACCCCCCAGTGCCACCCACCCAGCCCACTGCCCCCAGTGCCACCCACCCAGCCCACTGCCCCCCAGTGCCACCCGCCCAGCCCACTGCCCCCCAGTGCCACCCACCCAGCCCACTGCCCCCAGTGCCACCCACCCAGCCCACTGCCCCCCAGTGCCGCCCGCCCAGCCCACTGCCCCCAGTGCCACCCGCCCAGCCCACTGCCCCCCAGTGCCACCCACCCAGCCCACTGCCCCCCAGTGCCACCCACCCAGCCCACTGCCCCCCAGTGCTGTCCCCCAGCCCACTGCCCCCCAGTGCCACCCACCCAGCCCACTGCCCCCCAGTGCCACCCACCCAGCCCACTGCCCCCCAGTGCTGTCCCCAGCCCACGACCCCCCAGTGCCACCCACCCAGCCCACTGCCCCCAGTGCCACCCACCCAGCCCACTGCCCCCCAGTGCCACCCGCCCAGCCCACTGCCCCTCAGGGCTGCCCACCCAGCCCACTGCCCCCCAGTGCTGTCCCCAGCCCACTGTCCCCCAGTGCCGTCCCCCAGCCCACTGCCCCCCAGTGCCACCCACCCAGCCCACTGCCCCCCAGGGCTGCCCGCCCACCTGCCCTGCCCAGCCTGGGCTACAGGCTGCGCCCGGGGAGGGGGCAGCTGGCACCCAGCCAGGGCCCAGGGCGCCTCCACCGGGAGCTGCCCCGCCCGGGCAGAAGCTGGGCAGGGCAGGGGGCCTGGGGGACCCTCCTCTTCCCGCCCCAGACCCTGCGGGGCTCGGCCGCCTCCCCTGAGGTTTTCCTTTGACCTCAGAGGGGACCCGCGCCTGCGGGCCGTGGGGCCGCGAGGTCTCCACGCCCCCCCCCCCCCCCCCGCGATCGCTCGGGGCACCGGGCTCGCTGACAGCTGGGCCGCTCTGTGCCCTCCTGTGCCCGCGGCCGCCTGCGCTGGACCCCAGGCGCGCCGCGGTCCTCCCACGTCCCCTGCGCGGGCGACGGGCGCGGAGCCCGGGGTCGGGCGGCCCGGGGAGCCGCGGGGAGCCGCGGGGACCTGCGGGCGCGCAGGGCGGGGGCGGGGGGAGGGGGACGGGGAAGGGGGCGGGGCTCCACCGCCCCGGCGCCGCACCCTCCCCTTCCTCACCCCTCCCCTCCTCCCCATCCTCCCTCCCCTCCTCCCCCTCCTCCCCATCCTCCCTCCCCTCCTCCCCCTCCTCCCCCTCCTCCCCCTCCTCATCCTCCCTCCCCTCCTCCCCCTCCTCCCCATCCTCCCTCCCCTCCTCCCCCTCCCCATCCTCCCTCCCCATCCTCCCTCCCCTCCTCCCCCTCCTCCCCCTCCCCATCCTCCCTTCCCTCCTCCCCATCCTCCCTCCCCTCCTCCCCCTCCTCCCCATCCTCCCTCCCCATCCTCCCTCCCCATCCTCCCTCCCCATTCTCCCTCCCCATCCTCCCTCCCCTCCTCCCCCTCCTCATCCTCCCTCCCCATCCTCCCTCCCCTCCTCCCTCCCCTCCTCCCCATCCTCCCCCCCCTCCTCCCCATCCTCCCTCCCCTCCTCCCCTCTCTTCATCCCTCCTCTCGCCACTTCTCTCCCCTCCTCCCCACCCCTTGCCCCCCTCGCCTCTCCCCATCCTCCCTCCCCTCCACCCTCACCTCTCTTTATCCTTCTCTCCTCACCCCTCCTCCACACCCCTCCTCCTCTCCCCTCCTCTCCCCTCCTCTCTCCCCACCCCTTGCCCCCCTCCCCTCTCCCCTTCTCCCCCCTGCCCCCCTCCCTCCCCTCCGGTCCCAGCCCCACTCCAGCCTTGCCGCCATCCTCCAGCCACACAGCCAGGCAGGAAAATCCGGCGTCTTTTCTCATTTAACCCGCGTTTGCATTAACTCGGTCCGGGCGCCCACTAATCCGCGCACCGAAGGCAAAAGGAGGCTAATTAATGACCAGCTTTTCCAGTCAAGACCGGCGATAATTGCTTTGGTGGCCTTTATGATTACAAGATAAAAACGGGCCCGGCCTGACACAAGAGGCACTGTGTACACTGGGAGAGGGGAGGAAATGAAGAGTTGGGCGGCTGAATGCGGAGCAGAAAATTACTAATAGAACAGAGATAATGAATAGGCCGGCCGGGCATTCATGGGGAAAAATCCATTTTGTTGTTACCACGAGAAATTAGGAGGTGGAAGGGAGTTTGCTAATTGTTCTGGTCTGGTTGCAGAACGAGGCCGGGCGTGCGCCGCCATTCATCTCCCCCGTAATTGTGGGGGGCAGCGGCCAGCGCCAGCGCTTTGCCCGGGCCCTTCCATTTTCCTGTGGCGTTTTTAATTGTTGCTAATGAAGCTAATGAGGGGCCCGACGGGCGGTTTACCCCGGAGACCCTGGGGCCCACCAAAAGGAGTTTCCCGTCTCCTCCCGCCATGAAGACCTGGAGGGTTTGGGGCCTTAAGTTTCACAGCTCTAAATTCACCTGTTCTCTGTGTCCTGGGTGACGGAAGCAGATTGGACTAGATCAGAGAAGGATTTCTGAGTCCTCAGGATTGAGGTGCTAGCCCCACCCTGGTCTGAAGGATTGGGGTGCTGGCACCTGCCGTGGTCTGAAGGCCCCCCTGCATCCCCCCCACCCCACCGGCCCCTCCCTCCCTCCACACGTGCTGTGCGAAGGAGGGCACCAGCTCCCTGATTCACGGAAGGCAGTGAGTTTGTTGCATCGTTAAGTTTGAAAACTGGCCACCACTGGGAACAGGAAAGGTGGTGGCCTTTCTTTTTGGGGGTCTGCGGGGTTGGCTTCTCTGCCTTGCAGGACGCTCCCTTTCCCGTGCAAGACCCCCTCCCAGGTCGTGAGCAGCACAAGAGGTGCAGCGTGCGTGCGCGTGAGGAGTCACCTGCGTGCGTGTGTGCAGCGTGCGTGCGTGTGTGCAGCGTGCACGCGTGTGAGGAGTCACCTGTGTGCGTGTGTGCAGCGTGCGTGCGCGTGAGGAGTCAGATCTGTGAAGTTCTCACCCAGCCTCTCTCCCATTGTCCTGCAGAGAGCCAGACTCAAGCCTCCGCTCCACCAGGGTGAGCAGGAAGACTCCACCGAGTTCATCGTGCTCACCTTCCTCTCCATGGCCTGCATCGCGGCCGTGCTTTTGGCCTCGGGCCTGCTCTACTGCCTGCGCCATGGCTCACACCGCAAGCTCAAGGAGAAGCTGTCTGGCCTGGGGGCCGGCCCCAGCACCGATGCCACCGCCGCCTACCAGGTAAGAAAGACCCTTTGCAGAGTGCTCTGTGGACCTTTCCACGGACAGGTTTTTTTTTCTTCCTAACTTCTCTCTGGTCCCTCCCTCATCCCCAGCACTTGTTTGTTTACTCAGAGTTTGAGTTCTTTCATGATGATGGTTTGAAACTTCTCATTAGCATTCACATAAATATCGTGTAACCCCGTTTTACAGCCCTGTATTAATCTTATGTTGTTCTTGGATTGTCTCCTGTTAGCTGCAAACGTGGGTTGCTAATTAGAAATGTGGGAAAAGTACAATATATGAATTATGCATCATGTTATCTTAGTTGGGCCACTATTAATGAAACCTGCCAGCGGTGGGAGATGAATTGGTTGTGTAGATGTTTGAAGATGGCTCTTAAATCATCCACTTCCTCGGGGCCTAATGTGGAAAGTCCCTTTGACCCGATCTCTTCCCACCCTCCGCTGTTATTTGGATATAGTGAAGTCTAGTGCTGACAAATGGGAGGGAAGCCAGCTGGGGTGTGGTGGCACCCATGTCCTGTAAAACAGGTATTTAGGGGCCAGCACACCTGGAGGCAAGGAGACACCAGCGAGGAAATGAGGAAGGCAGGCACACATCTGCCTCTCTGGGCACAAACAACATCCTGCATGTTTATTTCAGAATTGCATTCTGTAATGGCAATGCCAGCCCGGACAAGACACAAGTCAGAGGACATGTTCTCCTTAATATACACCATTTAACTCCACGTATATGTGTCCCCTTTGGATACTAAGGTGATTAATTTAATCGAAAAGGATGTACACTTACAGGATTTTATAGTGTTGTAGCTGGGTATGGTGGTGAGCACCTGTAACCCCAGCAGCCCAGGCCCAAAGATTGAGAGGACGAACGTTCAAGGCCAGATCAGCCCAAAAGTTAGAGAAAGTCCATCTCAACAAACAAAGCAGGCATACTGGTACCTGCCTGTGGCCCGAGATACATAGCGGTGGGAGACGATTGCAGTCAGAGGCACAAGCACCTGAACCTTTCGGAAAATAAGCCATAGTAGAAGGGACTGGGCACCGTTCAGGTGGTAGGCACCTGCCTGGGCACCAAGTACAAGGCCCTCAGTTCAAACTCCAATGCTGATAAGAGTATTTTCTCCCAATGCATAAGATCTTTTGTTCTGTATAGTCATATGACCATAAATAACCTAAAGAAACTGCTACTCCTTATCAGAATTAGTACATAGTGAGCTCTCAGACTCTTCCCAGGAAGTTCCCCATGCTGTCCACGGTGTGCCCGAGCTCCGCTAGAGAACTCAGAAAGAAGGCATAAGATGTCTGTGCTTGAAAGAGAGATGGGAGAGAGCCTTCACCATCCTCACTGAATGGAGAAGCTTCTGGCTTCCTAGAAGTCCGTGAGCTGGGTCAGGACGGCCGTTTTTGTATAAAGAAATGGCAACTTCAAAATGAGTTGATGATGGCATTTCAGGCGTAGCTTTGCTTCAAAGCAAAAGAAAAAACACGTTTCAAGAAGCAGCTGGGAAAAAAAATGTCACATAAACTAGTAAGGATTTGCCCAGAAATTCTATTGAGCAAGACCATCAATATCCCATCCTGGGTCCCGAGGGGCCAGGCTGCATCAGGGTGTGATAAATAAATTATCACACTGTCTGTTCTGTGCGTGAGAGACGGGAGATCATACAGACACAGATTTCTAGGAAGCATGGCACTCTTTGATATACTTTGAAATTCAAATATAAAATATTGATAGAATGGAAAGGTTGGGTGTGCATGCAGAAATGACTAATTTTTACAAAAATGCAGGTTGAAAATGCATACTTAGGACTGAGTTTGTGATAATTAACAGAAAAAAAAACTTCCCGGTGACAGCTCTAATTAATAGTATCTGTAATTAAAATCATGTCCTTCCAGCAGGAAAACTGTTTGAATTTCTTAGAGTGACCTTTCTGTGTTCCCCTGGGGCCACGGTGGTTAAGTTGATATTGATTTTATAATGAGCTCTGGTTTGTTTAATAAGAATCTGTAATCCAGACAATAAATGAAATGTGTGCTTTGCTTCAATCCCAACTAATAAAAATGAGAAAAGATGCGGGGGTGGGGGGGAAACTTTCCTTTAAAGATACAGTCTAGGAAAATTTGGAAGCAAAATAATGGTAAAGATTTTCTGTTGTTCTCACTTCTGAACTTAGAGCAGAGGCCCTTTAGGGAACCAGCTGGGTAACGTGGGGCCCGCGGCCCGCACAGCTTCCTGTTGCTTTGTCTTGGAACAGGCCAGCACTGGGCTGGGGAGGTGGCCATGCTGGGGAAAGGATAGGGTTTTTAGCTGTATGCTCAGCTGGATGGTGAACTAAGCTCGCTCAGCCATGGTTGGTAGTAGAGGTGCTCCACAGGGAAACGAAGCAGGTGTTTGTGAACCCAGTGCTATACCCATGTCTGGCTTTGACACCCTTCATGCCCAAGCCCTTCTGGAAAGTTTTAAGTATAACACTGACATCAGCATATCCCAAGGGAAGTAGAGTGTGTGTGTGTGTGTGTGTGTGTGTGTGTGTGTGTGTGTGTGTGTGTATACACATGCACCCGCACGCAGGTACTAGGGCTTGAATTCAGGGCTTGGCTGGTGTCCCTTAGCTTTTTCACTCAAGGCTAGCACTCTACCACTTGAGCCACTGCTGTCCTGGCTTTTTGGTGGCTAATTGGAAATAAGAGTCTCATGGACTTTTCTGCCCTGGCCGACTCTGGACCTTGATCTTCAGATCTCAGCCCCCTAGGAGCAGGGATCCTAGGCGTGAGCCAGGGTGCCGTCTGGGGGAAGTGTCTCGCTGCATCCGTGTACCGGGTTTGGAGTCTTGCCTCTGTGCTTGCCACATCTGTAATAACCCGAGGCTGTGATAGGCCCTCCCTGGCCCGCAGGGAAAATGGCACAACTTGATGCCGTGCTCATTTCCTGGGGTCATGATGGAAATACTTAGTTTGTTATTTGAGCTCCTGAGAAAGAAAGCAATCCAGGGATGAGGTGGCAAGAGCGAGCATGCCCCAAGCGTTGTTTCTGTCAGGATGTGACGCACCAGGGCTCTAATACGGAGGAAGGCTCACGGAGCACGGGAGCACAGGCCTGCCGATGGTGGAGAGGGGCTGAGGCGTCTGGTGGCCCCTGGGGCCTCCGCTGTGCTGTTCCATGCCTGTGCCTTTCCGACCTCCCTGGGCTCCAAGAGGAGACCGGACAGGCCCAGCTAGACAGCCCCCCATCGTGTTACAGCGAGAACCGGGGCCTTCCTGAGGCTGGTCCTCCATAAAGCATCATTTGTGGGCTCCTGCAAGTGCCCAGGACAAGCTGGACCCCACACGCCCCGACCGTCACCAGCTATGGGCTGGGGAGACCCCTGGGCTTCACCGGCGTCTCGAGATGCCTTCAGAGCAGTCTGTGGTTTGAATTATTAGGCTGAATTACCAGTACTTAAAGCCCTTCTCTTCCTGTGGGTGTTCTGTGAATGAACCTGGAGCCAGGGTTAGAGAGTTACCTGGTCTGTGGTGGCTTGGAATGGGATTATTTTTATTTGATATTGAAAAAAATATTTTGGCAGACTTCTACTTTGGACACTTTTCCAAGATATCAGATAATCTAACAAAGCTTGATTTGCCCACACTTCAAAGTGTTGAGTCTGTTAACTTTCAGAATAGCTGGCATATAATTTCAAAGGTCACTTTTCAAAGGGCTGCTGCCATCGGTGCTTCCCCAGGATTTCAGTACAGTTTGTCTTCCTTCCAAATACATAAGAAAACATCTGGGCTAAATCTGTACTTCAAGTTGGGCGCTACAGAAGCTGTTACCTGGAGGGCCACTTTTGAAGCCAGCACCGGTGGAAAAGTCTGTGAGAGTCCATCTCCAAAATAACCTGCCAAAAGCAGACCTGGGGCTGCGTCTCAAGTGTAGAGCAGGGGCCACGCAGGCTGAGTAAAGTTCTAGCCCCGGTCCTTTTTTAAAAAAAGTCTGCACTTCATTAACTGAAAAGCAAATTTTGTTTACTTCTACTTTTCCAAACTGGCACCCCAGCCTGTGTGTGTCTGTGCGTGCACACGTGTGCGTGTGTGTGTAGACACCGCACAACACGGGCTATGTATAGGTCACAGGGCCGCGGCGCTGGGCACCCTGGCGCTTCCTGATCTCACATGCAAGTGTCCTCATTCTGTGGAATGTGATTGGGTAAAAACTGTGCCAAAAATAAGTCGTTAGATGATTAGAAGACAACATTCTCCCCTTTTCTCTCAGAGTCTCTTTGAATGTTGCATCCATTTCTTTGAGGCTTTGATCATCTCGGAGCAGCAAGTTTAGGATTCTGCTAGCCCCTTCTCCCTCCAGGGCAAAGACTCCTGCAGAATGTTCAGCAAGCTCTCTTTTGATGGTCGGTCCCGCAGCGCCCAGCGGGCTCCCTGGGCACCTCCAGGCCTTTGGAACCAGCCCCAGAGGGAAGCGGGGTTGGGCTGTGGGAGCCCCTGTAAGCAGAGTGGCTAAGTGCGCATCTTGGTTGCCACGGTTGCCGGTAGCAGCGACTGTTCCTGTGATCGTGACAGTGTGCGGGTGACTGCCGCTGCTTGGGAGTGCACAGCGCATGGCCAACAGCGTGCGGGGCCCTGACTTCCCCGCTCCGCTCAGTGCTGATCGCACAACAGACCAGTGCTGCATGCTGGTCCCTCACTTTTTCTTGAAGCGTGTAATCTTCAGTGGCATGATCAGCAGTCTGGAACTGGCGTAAGGATAGGGTGTTTGCAATTAAGTCAGAAAACGATGAATTCTGAGTTGTCTTTGATCCCAACAGTTTCTGAAAAGCCTTTTCCATTTCACTCAACAGAGTGCCTTGGTTTGACACGTAACCTTTTGGGCTGAAATGCTTATCAGGATAATTTTGTGAATACCCTAGAAACATCTGTCCTGTTCCACGTGAGATGGTGCCTCACGTATGTTAAGGAGCAGTTCTTGTTGCTAGAGCCTGCAAACGTGAGGCTCTGACTTTG